ACTACTGTGAAATTTATTATGGAATGCAATCTTTTAACCTTGTGATGAGTTTTTTTTTTTTTTTTTTTTAAAGAAATTAAGCGTTTTACTTTAAATATGTGCGCGAATATTGCGAGTTTCTGACTCTAATGTTCTTTGAATTGTTTGGTATGCCTAATTTTTTGATGAGCTAAACTATGTCGCCAAATGAATGCATTTTATTTAAATATAACTTAAACTTGAACTTCAAGTGCTCTTAGCAGTATTCATCAGTTTTAAAAAAAATCCTTAAAAATATGGAATAAATGATTTTTTTGAGACTAATTGGTGATAAACATTATATATTTGCATGCGTTAAATTGATCTTTTTTTCTTTATGACATATTACTGCTTTAAACATGAACACGCCGAAAAAAATTGCATAATAATCTGCATAATTACCAAAAGCATATTATATCCTCATTGTATTTGCGAAACCTGTGCGTGGTCTGTCACATCCAAATTGTAGGCCACACATGACTTTTTATCCGTCTTAGATTTCAAAGCAATGAATATCACTTTTAAATTGCTCATTGTGTTTAATTCGAAAAATAAGTTTGCAAGAGGTTTGTTTAAAAGTACCGTTTCTATTATTAAAAAAAAAATTTGCTTATCTGCGTGTCTTGGCTTGCATTTAACTAGTGGCTGCGGAGTTTGGAAAGCACATGCCTTTAACACTATTCTTTAGTCAAGTTTGTAAAATGTGTTTGTTTCGAGGTTGTCATTTTTCCAGCTTTTTATCAAAATGGATTTCGAATGAGATTCATGGTGCTCAGGTGACTACCTCTTGCAACGCATTTTTTCCCATTTTGTGCAGAGTTGGGTGAACAGAATAGGAGTGGTAGTAATAGAATTACTTATTCATATTTGTAGTTTTTTCTTATTTTGCTTTTTTTTGCACTCGATAAATCAGTTTCGAAGTTAATCTTATGTGTGCGTTGGGCGAATCAGATTTTTTTGGAAATTCCTGGGCAACCATTGTATTCGGCGACGTCTTTCTTTGTTGTAACTTTAAATGTATGTCTTTAAAAACGCAAATTTATAGCGATATAAATAAAACTCCATATCTGAGCAGTTCGATCTCATTCAAGATGGCGAATTATTTTGGCATATCTTCGGGGCCTGGATAACTGTAGCTTAAAGATATCGCAAACCATCAGATGAACTGATTTATATTATGCGTACTCGTAGGCCAATACAATTCTTAAATAGCTGGCCAGAGTATTTACAGAAATTTTGACTGAGCCCACGCAAGTTGATTGATTGAGCTTCATACCCCAAACACGCACGTAGTAAAATATAACTACTGAATGCTTTGAGTAGCATGTATTTCGCCAATTACGAGCGACCGATGTCAGATCCAGTAGAGTGACACGGCACGAAAATCATTCATCTCATTGCCTTAGTTGAAACCCAATTGATTTAAACCACCAAGTTCACGTGATTTTGAATACTTTATTGCATTTTTATACAGACGTAAAAGCAGTGGTTAAATATTTTAATCGTTTTGATTTACAGAATGTTATAGTAATCCTGAAAAGTAAAACGTTTGACTCTTCAAACTGACCACCACTATTGTGGTTGATGATGTCCTGCCAAATCTCACAGCAACAATATTTTAAACCCGTAATATCCAATAAGTGTGTGTGGTCGCTCACCCTAACCCCCTATTCTATAATCTGATGGAGTAGAATGATTAACGCCCTCTAATGTACGCTAAATACTTTTCCAGTTTAACAACTGGTAGGCATTTCTTGTACTCAAAAGAGCCGCGCTTACAAGGCCAGCCAATCACGAACTACGGGTAGTGTCCTCGCTTCGAATAACGCTGGCGGCAATATCGATTTAGTGCTCTCAATATGTGCAGCATTATCACGCACACCTCAGGTGGTGGTTGGGGGGGTTGTGAGTGTACACCCTGGTCGCACAGACGCGGCAGAACGTGGTGCCTGATGGACAATCACGTGACTAGACGAAAATGCAACAGGTGTTAGGAGGTTGACGCAGGAACCTCGAAACGTCTGTCGGCTAACGCGCCAAGCAACCCCTGCCACGCTGTGTCTGTTTATTCCAGCAGTCACACACACACACACGCACACACAGGTTACGGTTTCGTGTGAATTATTGCGGTACCAGAGCGTGGTGTGCACTGGTCTGGCGAGGTTTAATCTGTCTTGGTGTCTCGCATAACATAATCAATAGGCTTATTGATTAATCTATAAAAAGGGTAGTCAGTGAAGCTATGACGGTTCCTTAAAATTGGTTAAAAGTACAATCCCGAATCGATTACAAAAACCACTTTCACTAGGAGCCCCCTTAAGTTAAAATGCACACTCACACACGCATATTTGTCCTTATGACCTTGACCTCTGACATTAAGGCCTCGAATCGACTCGGTCTCATAGCAACCAATGTAGGCACTGGCTCGAAACTCATTTGGCGAGAAATCTAACTCAAAGAAAGTTTGGAGAAAACCGCCAGTTGGATAATTTCCTTCGATTTGGCGTTTTTGTCTGCTGCTTGCCATCCTTATGTGCCCCATAGCCTTGAGGCAGAGTTGAGGTAATTTAATTTGGGCTAAATTTAACCCGTAGAGGGTGTGGCTGCTGGCAAAAACTGTCTGAAAAACGACTGGCAGCTAAAAACAAACTCGAGCCAATAAGACTGGAGATAGCAAGAACCACCACCACAATTAATTGATGCCATTCCATCTAGCAGACCAGGTAATTTGGAAGCGTACAAACAAAGGTAAACTTGGGTTTCGTTGGCGCCACCGGACGCTGATTGGCTAACTCGCGACCAATAATCTATCGAGATTGGTCGTGTCGTATGATTATGGCGTCATAAATTGAGCATTGTTGGCGATGTTTATCCTGAAGCCAAAACGCCGCCCCTACCACTAATTCTTAAAAATTTTAGCTTGTCGGGTTCCGAAGATGCTTATTCGCTCACCCAACCTCCGCACGAATCGACATTCTCTTAGTTGTTGATAGATTAGAGTCGAAACAGGACAGGGAGGTTACGTTGAGGTCTTCAACGCACAGATATCACGGTTTTTCGTTAAAGCTAAACTGATTCACTGCCTGCATCAACACAACCTCAAATAACTGCCGGCCATTCCAAAACGTCCTGTATCATCCATCAGAACGTGCTGCTGGCAGCGAGATTAAGTGTTTTACAAATAAATATCGATACATCGATGTGAAAAAGTGACCTCACCGCGCCAGATGCTGCACTTTTAGCGCGCCAGTCAACCCGGTGCGTGACCTTTATGGTCCAAAAGTGCAGACGGAAAAATTCACTTGCTTGTGGTCATTATAAAACGCACGCACACACTCCAAATCACTACACATTTAAACCAGGCTGTTAGTGCTCAGGTAGCGGTCCTGGTTACCGATGCTCACAAAACTTGCGCCCCTAGAAATCAACTGTCAGACGTTGGCATATTTTGCACGTTTACGCCTGCCTTGGTGACAGTTAACTGCGTGAAACGATTCTTCGTTTCGGTAATTACCAAAACAACCTTTCTCACCTCATTCCAGCCAAAGCGCATTGAAGCCCTTTTCACTGGATCTTTTGTGGGCCCCA